GAGATGGGGCAGTCCTGATCAGGACTGTCAGCTTTTTTTTTTTTTTTGAGTCTGGTCTCACTGTCACCCAGGCTCTGGAGTGCAGTGGTAGATCACGGCTCACTGCAGCCTTGACCTCCTGGGCTCAGACAATCCTCCTGCCTCAGCTTCCCAAGTAGCCAAGACTACAAGGTGCAAGTCACCACGCCTGCCTAATTTTTTTTGTAGAGATGAGGTCTCCCTACGTTGCCTAGGCTGGTCTTGAACTGCTGGGCTCAGGTATCCTCCAGCCTGGGCTTGCCAAGGTGCTGGGATTACAGTTGTGAGCCACTGCACTGCAGTGAGCTTTGAGTTAATAGCGAGCTTGGAACTATGCCAGTGTGTTTGCTGTTATCATTAGTATCATGATTATTATTTCCTGTGCTGTCAGACACCTTTTCCAGGCACTAAAATAAAAGTAAACTTTTCTGTTCCCAAGGATGTTACAATTAAGAGGGGGAAAAAATGAGGAAGGAAGGGGAAGAACATTCACGACCATTTATAATATTAATATTAATCATAAAAGTTTCTGTTTATGTAGCTCTTTCCGTAGACTTTCCAGGTGTCATCACCTTCATGCTCACAACAGCCTAGTGAAATCGTCTTTTTTTTTTTATTGAGTCAGAATCTCACTATGTCACCCAAATTGGAGGGCGGTGGCACGCTCACGGCCACTGCAGCCTTGACCTGCTGGGCTCCGGTGATCCTTCCGCCTCAGCCTTCCAAGTAGCTGGAACTACAGGCACACGCCACCACACCCAGCTAATTTTTTGATTTATTGTAGAGATGAGGTCTCGCCAAGTTGCCTAGGCTGGTCTTGAACCCCTGGACTTAAGCAGTCCTCTCACTTCTGCCTCCCAAAGTGCTGGAATGACAGGCGTGACACTGTACCCAGCTCCTCTCTTTTATGGAAGGAGACACATATAGCCCAGAAAGGTGATGTGGTTTGCCCAAGAACACACAGTCAGGAAGTGGCACAACCCAGATTAGATGTGGGCTTCCCAAACTGCAGAACTGCCTGCTGGATGTCATGTCTAGGGATTTCCTTGGTTCTTCCTCCCAGCTTCTGGCCTGGACTCTTGCTTTGGTCTCTCCCAGAACCTGGTTCAGCCCTCTCCGGCAGTCCCTGGCACTTAAGGCTTTCCTGGTCTACCTGCCAGGAGGCAGCCCCTCGGTGCTCTGGGACAGTCATGGGGGACTTGGTACCCCTAGACTGGGCTCCTAAAAATCCCTGAGTTTCCTTCAGGGAGCATCTTACTCTCACCCTTGACAACTCAAGCTTTTTTTTTTTTTTTTTTTTACGAGACAGGGTCTCACTCTGCCACCCAGGCTGGAGTGCAGTAGTGCCATCATAGCTCAATGCTATCATAGCCTTGAACTCCTGGACTCAAGTGATCCTCCTGCCTCAGCTTCCCAAGTAGCTGGGACTACAGGTGCACACCACCACATACAGCTAATTTCTTAATTTTTTTGTAGAGATGGGGGGTCTCGCTATGTTACCCAGGCTGGTCTTGAATCCCTGGGCTCAAGCAATCCTCTCACTTCAACCTTCCAAAGTGCTGGGATTATAGGCATGAGCCACAGTGCCCAGCCAAGCCTTGGTCTTGAGCTATCACACAGAAGCCCACAGACTGGCTGCTAAGAAAGATACTTAACATCTTTTTTTTTTTTCTCTTTTTTTTTGAGTTGGAGTCTCACTCTATCGCCCAGACTGGAGTGCAGTGGCCGCTCCCGGCCACCGCAGCCTTGACCTGCTGGGCTCCGGCAATCCTTCCACCTCAGCCTTCCAAGTAGCTGGAACTCCAGGCGCGTGCTACCACGCCCGGCTAATTTTTTTGATTTATTGTAGAGATGAGGTCTCGCCAAGTTGCCCAGGCGGGTCTAACACCCGCGGGCTCAGGCAATCCATTCACCTCGGCCTCCCAAAGTGCTGGGATTACAGGCTGAGCCACCGAGCCCAGCCACTTAACATCTTAATATTTCCTATTTCAAAATATTTAACAAGGAGTTCCCTACCTTTACTTTGGGTGGGGAACAGTGGTATGCTGGTAAATGCTGGCAATGCTAGCAAATGGGGTCTTGGGGTTGGTGGCGGGGGGGTTCTGATCAGCAGCCTGTACCCATTTCTGTGGCACAATCATTCCACTATCGCTGACTTCACACTCCTGAGTGAGGCAGTGTTGGGACGAGATGTGCACGTTTGCTCCCATGAGCCAAGACAAGCTCCACACAGCCCTGGACAGAGGCTCCCAGCCAGTGTCCACTGGGGGCTCCACAGGCAGGTAGCACCCAGGTCACGGTCATGGCAAGTTCCACAGACACACAGATACAGGGACCCACACAGAGCCAGACATCAGCAAACAGATACGGACACACAGATGTACACGATCACCAGAAACATGGACACAAAGGCTGGTAAACACAGAAACAGACATGATGACACGGATGCCACACACAGTCACACATGGAGACATACGATACTGACATGGACACCCACACACTCACACGCTGTTGTAGCTCATACACAGAGACATGCTATGCCAACATGGATGTCCGCACACGCTTACACTCAGAAACATGATACTGATATGGACATCCAGATACGTTCACACTTGGAGACACATGATGCTGAAGTGGATGTTCATACACACACAGAGACACACAGATACTGACAAGGACATCTACATATGCTCATACATAGAGACACATGATACAGATACAGATGGCCACACACACAGAGACACAGAGATACTGATACGGACAGGCACAAACACAGAGACTCACGATACTAACACAGACATCCACACACACATGGAGGCACATGACACGAACATGGACATACACATATGCTCACACCCAGAGATGTCACAAAGACACAGGCACAGACACTGGCACCCAGACATATACAGCCATTCCCACACAGAGATACATACAGAAACATAGACACACTTAGAAACACACAGGGGCACATGCATAAACACATGGATACTAACACATAAATGGACATACATGACCAGACATGGTGGTTCACACCCGTAATCTCAGCACTTTGGGAGGCTGAAGCAGGAAGATCACTTGAGCCCACGAGTTTGTGACCAGCTTGGGCAACATTGCAAGACCTCATCTCTACAAAAAATAAATGTATAAAAAACTTTAAAAACAGACGTGAACATTTACACAGACACACAGATAATGACAGACACACAGATACACAAATACAGACGCATATAGACACACATACAGGGGCATGCACACAATCTGTACTCCACCCCTGTCTACTAAGTTTTCACAAATCACTGGTCACCTGTGAGTGATGGTCTCCGCTATTTTCTAGTCTATCCTATTGTTTATTATTTTATTTTATTTTATTTTTTTGAGTTGGAGTCCCACTCTGTCACCCAACTGGAGTGCAGTGGCAGGCTCCCGGCCACTGCAGCCTCGCCCTGCTGAGCTCTGGCAATCCTTCAGCCTCAGCCTTCCAAGTAACTGGAACTACATGTGTGTGCTACCACACCCGGCTAATTTTTGATTTATTGTAGAGATGAGGTCTTACCAAGTTGCCCAGTTTGGTTCTCGAATCCATGGGCTCAGGCAATCCACTCACCTCAGCCTCTCAAAGTGCTGGGATTACAGGCTGAACCACCAAGCCCGGCCCTATTCTTTAATTTTAAAAAAATGTTTACCCGCGGATTTGAGATCCACTTGGGCAGCAAGACCTCCTCTCTACAATAAATAAAAAAATCAGTTGGACGTGTTTGCGCGCACCTGTAATTCCGGCTACTAGGAAGGCTGAGGCGGAAGGATCGCCAGAGCCCAGCAGGTGGAGGCTGCGGTGGCCGGGAG